GGAACTGGGGAGCACTGGGAGGTACTGGGTGGGCACTGGGGGGCAATAGGAGGTGCTGCGGGGCACTGGGAGTTACTGGGAGGGCACTGGGAAGCACTGGGAGGGCACTGGGGGTCGCTAGGAGGTAGTGGGAGGGCACTGGGAGGGCACTGGGAGGCACTGGGAGGTGGTGGGGGTGCTGGGAGGCCACTTGGGGACACTGGGAGGCACTGGGAGTGAAGCGGGGTGCACTGGGAGGGAACTGGGGAGCACTGGGAGGTACTGGGAGGGCACTGGGGGGGAACTGGGAGGGCACTGGGAGGTGTTGTGGGGCACTGGGTGGCACTGGGAGTGAAGTGGGGGGCACTGGTGGAGGAGGGGAGAGCAAGTGGAAGGTACTGGGAGCATACTGGGATGCCCCAGGAGACACTGGGAAGGCACTGGGAGGGTACTGGGAAGGAGTTGGAGGTGAACTGGGGGAACTGGGAGGCACCACAGTGACAGTGAGGGGTACTGGGAGGGAACTGGAAGGTGCTGAGGGTGTACTGGGAGGGAACTGGGGGGCACTGGGAGGTGCTGGGAGGGAACTGGAGGTTACTGGGAAGACTTGGCAGGGAGTGGGAGGGAATGGTGTGACACTGGGAGGCACTGGGAGGCACTGGGAGGGAACTGGGGGCCACGGAGGGGGAATGTGGCAGTGTTGGGAAAGAACTGGGAGGGCACTGGGAGATACTGGGAGGCAGTGGGTGGGAAATGGTAGGTGACTGGGGATACTGGGAGGAAAAGGAAGAGCAAGGAGGACACGGAGGGTGACACGGGGTGGTCCTGGGTGGCCCAGAAGACCTCCTGTAAGGGAACTGGGAAGGAACTGGGATGGAACTGGGAGGAACTGGGAAGCACTGGGAGGAACTGGAAGGCACTGGGAGGGCACTGGGAGACACTGGTGGAAAGTGGTGGGATACTGGGAGGGAAAGAAAGAGTCAGGGGTGGCCACGGGGTGGTCCTGGGTGGCCCAGAAGACCTCCTGGAAGGGAACTGGGCTGGAACTGGGAGGGAACTGGGGGGAACTGGGAGGATCAGGGAGGCACTGGGAGACACTGGTGGGCAGTGGGTGGGAAGCGGTGGGATACTGGGAAGGAAAGAAAGAGCAGGGAGGATACAGGAGTGCCATGGGGTGGTCCTGGGTGGCCCAGAAGACCTCCTGGAAGGGAACTGGGATGGAACTGGGAGGGCACTGGGAAGCACTGGGAGGAACTGGAAGGCCCTGGGAGGGAACTGGGAGA